ACTCTCCGGTCTTCTTCTTCACTAGGACGACTCCTGATGCGTACGGGCTTCGACTCGGCCGAATTACTCCTTTACTTAACATATCGGCCACTTCTTGTTGAATGACCGCCTTCTGCTGGTCGTTATACCGCCTTCCCCGGCATGCGATGGGCTTGGGATCGGTGACCTCTATCCCGTGCTCTACGATGGTCGTGCGTCCTAGTTCGTCACCGAGCCACAACTCCCTGAACGTCCATAGAATCTGCTTCAATTTCTCGCGGCCTACACCGTCAGTGGCGCTACCCTCCACTGCCTTCGTTAGGACTGGGTCTGGGTCCGTCTCCGCCTGTATTGTGTTTACGGCCCCTTGGGCCCTTACCAGTTCGTGCCACTTTCCGTCGACTTTTATTTTATTACTAACGATGTCGACTACGCTTTTGTGCTCCTCCAAGTAGGGCATGCCCAGTATTAGTCGGCCGGTGTCCCGTAAGACAACCCCTGTCACGTCCTGCTTTTGTGCCCCTTCCAATTTCACTTCGACCTCTCCCCATTTCATACATTCTTCGTGGTTGCCGTCGGCGAACGTCAACCTTAACGGTTTACCTTCTACTGGGTGGGGTCTGAGACCCTTTCCAATGATATTGACTTCAGCCCCGGTATCTACTAGGGCTAGGATCTTGGTCTGGTCACTGGTCATTGGCAAAAAACAGGATGTGGACGTGGAGGTCACTCCTGGTTTGGTAGCACCGGCCTTTCCCCAAAAGGGTGCTCGTTGGGGTTTGTTGACCTTGGTGTGTTGCTTCGTTGTGCTGCCTGGTTTGCCTCACTTTTGCTTCTAATTTGTTCGACACGACGGCTTAACCTCTCTATCTCCTTGCACAGGGCCGTGACATCTCTGGCGTCTTCGACGGTTACTGCGACCTTGCCTGTTTGGTTCTTACACATTACTGCCAGGTGGTTGGGTTGGCCACACTTGTAGCACTGGAATCTCTTCTTGGAGACCCAACATCGATGATTCGGGCCGACCCATTCGCCACACTGTTGGCATTGGGTTAACCGGACCAAAGGGGGTTCTCCGGTCGGTGGTGCGTCTCGTGGCGGCTCTGCTACCATCGGGGTGTGGTTGTCGGTAACCGGTGTCGTCTGCGTCAGGTCTTCTACGGTCGGTGGTGGCGGCCTTCTTGTGTGTGGTTCGAGTGGTGAGTGGTCCTGCCAGCGGTCGAGGGGTGTGAACTCTTCCTCTTCTAGTGCGGGTTCGTGCTCTTGATGTCTTTCGTCGTTTCTCTCTGCTCTCCTCACTCGGTCTGGTCTTGCTTCTGTCCTTCGATTTTGTGCCGCGTATGCGCTGACGGTAGGTGGGCCCTCCCTAGCTGATGAGTGTCTGGTCGCCTGCTGTGAGCGTTCCAGCTTGGCAACCCGTTGGGTGAGGTCATCCGTCTCGGACGTTGAGGCCGTCCTTGTCTTGTCGTGCTCTCTCCTGTTACCTACATTTTCTAGTACCTTTGTTGCTACCAGGGTTGCCATGGAGATACTGACCTGCTGGATGGCGGTTTCCAGGTGGGTGCTCGCTCGCCACATCGAAATGACGAGCGGGATACATCCAACCACTATGAGGGGCCTGAGGCCGCCCTTCAGCCACTTCCAGAGGTTGCGTAGTCGGCCCTTTGCTATGTGGGTAATGGCAAGCAGGAACAGGACTTGCCATACGCGCTTCTCGAGCGCGTCGGTCCATGGATGCGCCCACGCATGGGCGCATCCAGCAGCTGTCGCCAATTGATTTGTTAACCATGTCATTTTCGTCTACCTCACTACTACTACTACTTCGCTAATTCGGTTCTTGTTTTTGCTCCCTCTCCCTCAAAAGCCCCCCCCAAAA